GGCATTCCCTGGGTGCCAAGCAGTCTCTGGTTGGGGGAATAGGCACATGTGTGGCATAGTGTCTGCAGCCCCTGATCTGTCTGGAGCATAGGGTAGGATGTCGTCATAAAAGGCCAAATTTGACTGCAAGCAGAGCCTACTCCCTCTGCCTTTTCTGCCAAGGCTCCTAATTGTTATCTCACATGATAATGCTTTTGAGTAAAACATAAACCGGAATTGCCATGACAGTGTAGACTCAGAGGCAGGAACCCCAATGGAGCTGGAAAGATTCTCATGCAGTAACCTTCTGTCCCGTGGATTGCCTTCCATGGCAATTCCATACATGCTTGCCTGCTTTCCTCTTTGCTTGTGGCCTCCTTATGCTTGATTCAACAACAAAAAGAAGTGTGTGTGTGTGTGTGTGTGTATGTGTGTGTGTGTTTATGTGTGTGTGTGTGGTGGGTGTTTATTGTTAAAAGGCTTTATTTTTGGAGTGATGTTTCTTGAAAGCAGTAAGAAAACTTCTCATATAGGAGACTCATCCATGCAGGTTCCCAGGATCCCACAGTGAGCCCCAAGAAGCAGGTCCCATCATGAGAGTTGGGGTCTTTAAATTATGTTTACAGCCAGCACCCGCCATCCTGGGAGTCCAGACTTCCTGCAGGAGCAGCTGTCTTAATTTCCTGACATCATCTGATTAGACAACAAGGCCTCCCCTATTGAATTTAGAAATATTTGCAGCCCATTTTTAAAAAAAATGACTTATAGAAAGGGAAGAGTACTTAATGTGTTTATTTAGACCATTAAACTCTCCTTTATATCTATTTTTTTCAGTTTGAGATCCTCAAACATTTTACTGACTTTTCTTAAACAACCAGGGTTAGTAAAAAGACATTGGCCATTGGAGTTTCTAAAGACACTACTCCAGGGCTGAGCTTTGGGTGAGTATTACACAAGAATGAAAATACTTCCCCATGGGCCATGGAAGTCCTTTTTTCTTCCCGTTTCCCAGGCTGTGGCCTTTTAATATTTTTTTTTCAGAATCACTTTCTGGAAATGCGCCTATGCACAGCACCATCAATATATGTTTTCTCTTTCTTTCCATCCAAAGAATCACTTACTCTATGTATGTATTAGAACACTTATTTAAAGTATCTTATATCTTACAACGTGTTTTCACATGCGTTATCTTGTTTCATTTTCATGCTAACTCTATGAAGATGGCATAGTTCTTATATTGCATAGGCTCAGACAAACAGTCATGGAGAGGTGCATTTAACTTATTTAAATCCACCTCTCCATGGCTAGTTTCTATTAGTTTAAGAATCTAAAATTTGGCCAACTCTGTCATCTCTCTTTCAAGTACGCTCACTTTAAATGTTCTCCTCTCCCATCTCCTCCATGTATGTCAGAACATTCAAATGGAGAGTTACTCTTGCCTGGCGTCTTTCAGTTTCTTGTGTCTGCTTTCTCTGCCTCCTCTCCCTAGAACACCCTCTCTAGCCTCAACAGTCCTGCCCTTTGAAGTCTTGTGTGTCTTTAAGACTGAACTCAGATGCTGCATCTTTTCATTCTGTAGTTTCTTAGTCAACTGGTGCTTCTGTAACAAAGTGCCACACAAACTGGGGCTTATCAATAACGGAAATGTATTTCTCACTATTCTAAGGCTGGAAGTCTGAGATCGGGCTGCCAACAGGGGCAGGTTCTAGTATCCTCTTCCAGGCTGCCACCTGCTCGTGTATCCTCGTGAGGCAGAAAGAGAGAGCAGGAGAGCTCTCTAGGGTCCCTTCTATAAGGACACTAATTCCATCCCTGAGGGCCCCCTGCTTGTGACACAATCACTTCTCAAAGGCCTCAGCTTCTAATATCATCACATTGGGGGTAAGATTTCAAAATATGGACTTTGAAGGGACACAGACCTTCAGTTCCTTGCACATGGTCACTGATTCTACAAACAGAAGCAAATCACACCCTCTTCTGTGCACCCTGGTGTTCTGGGCTCTGTTCCACCAGTTGTGTATTCTGCCAGACAGGAATTGGACATATACACACCCAATTATCCCCAGAGAGCAAAGACTCCCAGAGGGCAGGGGCCAGCTCATCCCCTTAGTCCTTCCCGATGCTGCACAATTACCACAGAGTGCAGAGATCTGGAGAGAGGGCACATGGGGACATCTTCTACCCTTTAAGCCTATTTTCCATGAAGCTTTCCTTAATTCCCTGAAGCCAACATTTCCGTCCTCTTCTGAAAGTCACAGATGTGATCCATGTGACTCTTCACCCTGCATTATAATCAGTGGCCTCTATCTTTTTCCTTTTATCTCCCCTTCCAAAACATGAGGCCTGTCATTCATGAGGGTAAGATCCATGGTTGATTGTACTTCCAGCCTTCATAAGGTCTCATATATATTAGATCCAAGATATGTGTTTATGGACTAGAAAATTGTCTTATACATTTAAAATCTATTAAAATAACTGCAAAATACACTTTTTCCATTAGCAAGAGATGGAACAACTCTGGTCAATATTGCTCCTCAGATTTTGGGTTTCCATACTATTTCATCAATTTATAACTTTAAAAAATTAGCATTTCACCTCTGGATTAAAAGCATACCACAATTTGTTATCAATTTCTTGCAAATCAGTTCCTCCAGAGTACCTGATTTAAAAGTTGAAAACTTGGTATTGAGTATATGCAAAATACATTTCAAAACAATGCCATTTCAGAATTATAATCCATTTCACAATATAAAAGTTTAATAAATAAACACTTAGATGTTTTGTTATTCTGTTGGAAATAGAATAACTAAAATAAACTCTTAGTGAGTTACAATGGGTATTTGTCCGTTTAGCTAGCCTTTCAGTATCAAACACACACAAATATATACACCCCAGTGAATGTTACTTTTAAATCCCATCCTTCTAATAAATCTTATGGTAGACACTTTTCCAAACTATGCATAGCAGAATTAAAGTTAAAAAAGAAAAAAGGAAATTCAAGGGCCAGGCATGGTGGCTCATGCCTGTAATCCCGGTGCTTTGGGAGGCCAAGAGGGGCTGATCGCTTGAGGAAACGAGTTTCAGACCAGCCTGGGCAATAAAGTGAGACCCTCATGTTTACAAAAAATAAAAAAAAAAATAGTTGGGCTCAGTGGCAGACACTGGTAGTCTTAGCTACTAAGAAAGCAGAGGTGGGAGAATCCATTGAGCTCAGGAGTTTGAGGGTGCAGTGAGCTTTGAAGGCACGACTGCACTCCAGCCTGGGCAACAGAGTGAGCCTCTGCCTTAAAAAAAAAAAAAAAAAGTGAAAGATTTGGCTTTGTGCTTTTCAAAGATGCTGCTAGTGTTGATAAGGTTTTGGAGCTGAAAGAACACAAACTGGATGGCAAATTGATAGATCCCCAAAAGGGCCAAAGCTTTAAAAGGGAAAGAACCCCCCAAAAAGGTTTTTGTGGGTGGACTGAGCCAGGAGACTTCTGAAGAACATATTAAAGAATATTTTGGAGCCTTTGGAGAGATTGAAAACTTTGAACTGCCCATGGATACAAAAACAAATGAAAGAAGAGGATTTTGTTTTACCACATATACCTAGGAAGAGACAGTAAAAAAACTGTTAGAAACCAGATACCATCAAATTGGTTCTGGGAAATGTGAAATCAAAGTTGCACAACCCAAAGAGGATATAGGCAGCAACAGCAACAACAAAAATGTGGAAGTGGTGCTGCAGCTGGTGGACGAGGTGGTAAGAGGTGTGGTGGCCGAGGTCACCGAACCAGGTATTTAATAACTGTCATGATCAAGGATATGGAAAAAACCATAGTGCCTATGGAGGTGATCAAAACTATAGTGGCTATGGTGGATATGATTACACTGAGTATAACTATGGGAACTATGGATACGGACAGGGATACAGTGGCCAACAGAGCACTTACGGCAAGGCATCTCGAGGGGGTGGCAATCCCCAAAACAATTACCAGCCATACTAAAGGAGAACATTGAGAAAAGAGGAGGAGATGTTAAAGTCAGCCATCTTGCAGGACGACATTGAAGATTGGTCTTCTGTTGATCTAAGATGATTATTTTGTGAAAGACTTTCTAGTGTACAAGACACAATTGTGTCCAACTATATATAGCAGCCAATTAGTTTTCTTTGTTTTTACTTTGTCCTTTGCTATCTGTGTTATGACTCATGTGGATTTCATGTTAAACTTCAAATAAATGCTTCCTTATGCGAAAAAGAAAAGTGAGAGGGGAGTCTGAATAAAGCCTTGTAATCAAGAAGAAATCACAATTCATTCAATAGAAAATTATACAAATAGGCCTAAGCCATTCACTGTAAACTAGATGCACTATAACTCATTAATAAGCACGACTCAGTAGAAGTTGGATCACTTTACATCCTTTCCTTGGTTGCCAGTTACCAATTGTATGAAAATAATTTCATTATAAGGCACCTTTTCCTATAAATTGGGCCAGCAGCGCCAACATTAAGCCTAGCACAACACATTTCTGTCTTGTAGTTATTTGTTTTTGGTAATGATGCTTCTAGCCACTTGATTTTATAATTATTTTAAAAAGGAAATCCATGGACAAGCCAGCTTGCAAATTATAAAATGCATGACCAAAGGCTTTGTAAAGAACACATCTGAGACCATGTATGGGAGTTTTCCACAGGAAAATCAACAGGGTGGCAAGGTGGGTGCTAAAGACAAACACCTACTCATCTGCCAGGTTGCCCAGAGCCCATACCAATGGATGTGAGAGAAGGATGTGGAGAGAAGACTGTGGCTCATGCCCCCAACACAAGGGGCCCTGGGCATGCTGTCAACAATTGGCTGGACTTTTATCATTCTCTTCAGCCATGTTACCATAATAGCAAAACGTTAAACCCAGCTATACCACACCAATGGTCCTCTTTTGTTTTGATTTTAAAGAGGTGAGTATGGAGACAGTTGAAAATGAAAGCCCCCAAAGACCTATGTATTCAAACTAGGTAAAATGAAGCATTTCTTCTCTCTTACTTTTAACTGTGAGGTACATGGACTTGCTGACGTCTGCGCCCACATCGTTGCTGACCTTGCAGAGGTAGTAGCCACTGTCTTCTTCCACAACATGCTTGATCAGCAACGACCCATTGCTGAGAACTTGGATTCGACCATTTAGGGCAATTGGCTGGAACTGGGGAACCCCAGCACCTGAGACAGAAAAAGAGGAGCAATGATGTGAACCTGAGTAAATATGGGAAGACAGTGAGTTCAAGGACACCCAGACTCAAAAAGAGAGGTACCAGACACTTCACACTGATCACAGGGTATACCAGGCTTTTCTTTCTTTCCTTCAACATTAAAATTTTTTTTTAGAGAGAAAGCATTTATTTAAAATGACAGTATTTCAGACTCTGAGATAAAAACTAACAGAGCTTACAGATAGTTTCTACATAAAAAGCCAAATTTGATGAGTGTTAAGTAGCTGATAAATTATTCAAAGAAATCACAGTAGAACAACCACAGAAGCAGACAACTCTCACAGTGCTAAATAAATTCCTTGTGTTCCCAGGGACTTAATATGAATGTAAACAAGGAGTGCTCCAGGGACATGGCATTTGAAGTCTTTGCTCACTGCACACGTCTGATGCTACAAAGAGAATAAGAATATTACAGGTTTCTCTCTAAGTGTGGTTATATTCCAGTCTAGAAACACAGTACACTGTTAATATCATTTAATGTTATTTAAATAAGTATATCAGATTATTGCAGAAAGACAGCACAGAATTAAAACACCACTCTCCTCAGAGTGCTTACATGCAAGGAGATAATGGCATGGATATGATATACTATTATAATGAATGCTATGTGATTCATAGGAAGGATTGATATACAACCGTGTTAAAAAAAAAAAGGATTTTAGAAATAATGAAACAGACTATTAAGGTCCTAGAAGAGTTCTGGGAAGATGATGATTTGGATGAACCTGCCATGCTGCCTGCTTCTGGCCTGCGGGAGTTGGGTGGGCTAGGAAAATGTGATTCAGGCCTTGAAAGATTCTCCCAGGGCATTTTTCTTCTCTGGCCTCAGTGTCTGGGGACTTCCTGGAGGAAGCTCAGAGTTTGGACCAAGGATGTGCCCCAGGGAGAAGTTGCTAGCTCCCTGGTCCATGAACCTGCATGGGAGCTGAACACGTCAGCCGTCTCCACAGGCCTCAGGCAGGAAATTTCAGACTTTGCATCTGAGGACAGGAGAAGGGGAGACACTTCCTCCCACTGTCTCCACACCCTAATGATAGCTTGCATATTGGTCTCACTAGAGCTCACAATGGCAAAGACTGTGGCTGTGCCTTCTTTTCCCATGTTTCTGATTTAGATTTCTCAGCAGCTGGCCTCTAGCCCCATCAAAGAGACAAGAGAAACTGATGATGTACCTAAGGGAACCTTTCACACTGAATAAAGAGATCAAGTAGAATCCCTACAGCAGGTGGTTCCCATCACAATAGAACTACTACAGGGGACATATTACAGCTTGATTTTTTTTTTTTTTTTTTTATACGGAGTCTCACTCTGTCACCCAGGCTGGATCTCAGCTCACTGCAACCTCTGCCTCCTGGGCTCAAATGATGCTCCTGCCTCACCCTCCTGAGTAGCTGGGATTACAGGGGCCCACCACCACACTTGGTTAATTTTTGTATTTTTAGTAGAGATGGGGTTTCGCCATGTTGACCAGTTGGTCTCGAACTCTTGACCTCAGGTGATCCGCCTGCCTCAGCCTCCTAAAGTGCTGTGATTACAGGCGTGAGCCACCTCACCTGCCCAACAACTTGAATTTTTTGAAAAAATAATTCCACTTTTGATAAGAATGTAGAAAGCACAAAAGAATTTCACTTCCATTCTAACAACAGAAAAAGAACATGATATACTATTATAATGATATACTATTATATAAAAGAATGATATACTATTAAAAATAGTATATCATTAATCTACAAAATCTACTTTCATTTGAACGAATCAGAAAATTAAAGTCATAAGCAAATAGGTAAACTTAGATGCAAAGAATTAAAAGTCCTGAAGAGATATGGGCTACATAAACTAATTCACCTTTGGCACAGTAAGGAAAGAAGAGGTTATGTGCATAAAATCAGATGAGATGAACTGGAAATAACTATAAACTATCTCAGTCTCTATTTTTTTTTTAAATACAATGGCTAGAATTCAATGAGAAGTTATGAGATACACACCAAAAAAGCAGTAAAAGGAAAACCGTCAGAAAAACAGTCAACAGAACCATATCAAGAGAAGCTGAAACAATCGGACACAGATTTTACAGTAAGTATAGGTATGCATGAACAGATAGAGAAACTCAGACAAAATATTAAAGCTATAAGAAAGAGACAGGCAAATAAAATGATAGAAACAACGAACACATTATTAGATATGAATAATTTCTAAAGGGGCTTATCAGAGACTGGACACAGCATAGAAAAACAATTGGATC